GGGGTACACTATGTAAGTGTTATTTCTCAGAAGGACAGAGGAGGAGTTGTGAAACTACCGTGACAATACTAGTATAAGATACAGCATCTTAAAGAAGCCTCAACTGAACACAAAGGCATGTTCTGTTCCATATGTGTCTCTGGACACAGGGTTTACATTGCTCCCCCACAGACACGTTTGTTTGTAACCTTTAAGTCCAGAGGTGGACAACCCTCCTCTTGGAAAGCTACTGTGTTCCATCCCTGCTCTAACACACCTGATTCAACATACAGTGACAACATCCTGATTTACATTTTAATAATTTAGCTGACACTCTTATCCAGAGCCATTAGGGTTAAGCGCCTTGCTCAAGGGCACAGACATATTTTTCACCCAGTCGGCTCTGGGATTCAAAGCAGCAACCTTTCAGTTACTGGCCCAACCCTCTTAACCGCTAAGCTACCTGCAGAATAGTTGAATTGGATGTGTTGAAGCAGGGCTGGAGTAAAACCCTGCACACACAATACTGTAGCTCTTCAGGAGGACAATTTCCTGTTTAACACAGTCATCAATAATGTGTTTTCTCTTTCCCCCTTTATGTCTGAAGTTGATTTTAATGAAGATGGCAATCATTGCAGTGTGGACATTTCTTCTATTGACCTCTGGTGTGGCCATAGCGATGGTAAGCTGAGTTAAATGTATATTTTGTTTGTGTGTGTGTGTGTGGCTGTGTGTTTATGAGGGGTGAAAAGGGGACTAAATTGAGCCTAATATAGCTACTGATACAGATGTAGAATCTTAATTTGATCACTCTTTTGTTGCTGAGAAATTTCCAGTTCAGCAGGAAATCCAAACATGTAGTGTATTCGAGTTAGTGTAGTCCATTCAATGTTTAAAAAGGCTTCTAAAGTTTGTAATTTCACTTGTCATACTTAATTTGCCCTAACGAAAAATGTATTAACCCCTAAAACATTTTTTCCATTAATTATAATCCACATAATAATGTACATTTCCTGCTGCTGCAGGATTATTTTCCTGCTGTAGCAAACTGGCTCAAATTAAGATCCTACACATACAATGCCTTCTGAAAGTATTCAGACCCCTTGACTTTTTTCACATTTTGTTACGTTACAGCCTTATTCTAAAATGGATTAACTTGTTTTTTCCCTAATCAATCTACAAACAATACCCCATAATGACATAGTGAAAACAGGTTTTTAGACATTTTTGCAAATGTATAAAACAATAAAAAGTAAAAAATCTTATTTACATAAGTATTCAGACCCTTTACTATGAGACTCGAAATTGAGCTCAGGTTCATCCTGTTTCCATTGATCATCCTTGAGATGTTTCTACAACAGTTGACAGTGCATTTCAGAGCAAAAACCAAGCCATAAGGTCGAAGGAATTGTCCGTAGAGCTCTGAGACAGGATTGTGTCGAGGCACAGATCTGGGGAAGGGTACCAAAACATTTCTGCAGCATTGACGGTCCCCAAGAACACAGTGGCCTTCATAATTCTTAAATGGAAGAAGTTTGGAACCACCAAGACTCTTCCTAGAGCTGGCCGCCCAGCCAAACTGAGCAATCAGGGGAGAAGGGCCTTGGTCAGGGAGGTGACCAAGAACCCGATAGTCACTCTGACAGAGCTCTAGTTCCTCTGTGGAGATTGGAGAACCTTCCAGAAGGACAACCATCTCTGCAGTACTCCACCAATCAGGCCTTCATGGTAGAGTGGCCAGACGATAGGCACATGACAGCCCGCTTGGAGTTTGCCAAAGGCACCTAAAGACTCTCAGACCATGAGAAACAAGATTATCTGGTCTAGTGAAACCAAGATTGAACTATTTGGCCTGAATGCGAAGTGTCACTTCTGAAGGAACATTGAAGTATGGTGGTGGCAGTATCATGCTGTGGGGGGGGGGGGGGGGTTCAGCGGCAGGGACTGGGAGACTAGTCAGGATTGAGGAAAAGATGAACGGAGCTCCAGAGCGCTCAGGATCTCAGACTGGGGCGAAGGTTCACCTTCCAACAGGACAACGACCCTAAGCACACAGCCAAGGCAATGCAGGAGTGGCTTCGGGACAAGTCTTTGAATGTCCTTGAGTGGCCCAGCCAGAGCCCGGACTTGAAACCGATCGAACATCTCTGGAGAGACCTGAAAATAGCTGTGCAGCGACACTCCCCATCCAACCTGACAGAGCTTGAGAGGATCTGCAGAGAAGAATGGGAGAAACTCCCCAAATACAGGTGTGCCAAACTTGTAGCGTCATACTAAAGAATACTCAAGGCTGTAATCACTGCCAAAGGTGCTTCAACAAAGTACTGGGTAAAGGGTCTGAATACTTATGTAAATGTTATATTTCAGTTTTTTATTTTGAATACATTTGCAAACATTTCTAAAAACCTGTTTTTGCTTTGTCATTATGGGGTATTGTGTGTAGAATGATGAGGAAAAAATGTGGATAAAGTGAAGGGGTCTTAATACTTTCCGAATGCACTGTGCACTATATATAGGTGTGTTAATTCGAGCACACAGCCATGCAACCTCCATAGACAAACATTGGCAGAAGAATGGCCTGACTGAAGAGCTCAGTGACTTTCAAGGTGGCACCGTAATAGCAAATCAGTTTGTCAAACACCCCTGGACTTTTTACACATTTTGTTACAAGGTGGGATTAAAATGGATTTACTCTGTAATGTCGAAGAAGAAGAAAAAATTCAAACATTTATAAAAAAAATTAAATACAAAAAAACACTAATATATCTTGATTAGGTCAAACCCTTTGGTTGATTTATGGCATTTATCACCCCTCGTGTGTGTGTGTGTGTGTGTGTGTGTGTGTGTGTGTGTGTGTGTGTGTTATGTATATCTCATCCATGGCCTTATACAGTCAGTGTGATGGAGGTAGTTATGTTCTCTCTCTATAGTCAGTGTGATGGAGGTAGTTATGTTCTCTCTCTATAGTCAGTGTGATGGAGGTAGTTATGTTCTCTCTCTACAGTCAGTGTGATGGAGGTAGTTATGTTCTCTCTACAGTCAGTGTGATGGAGGTAGTTATGTTCTCTCTACAGTCAGTGTGATGGAGGTAGTTATGTTCTCTCTCTATAGTCAGTGTGATGGAGGTAGTTATGTTCTCTCTACAGTCAGTGTGATGGAGGTAGTTATGTTCTCTCTACAGTCAGTGTGATGGAGGTAGTTATGTTCTCTCTCTATAGTCAGTGTGATGGAGGTAGTTATGTTCTCTCTCTACAGTCAGTGTGATGGAGGTAGTTATGTTCTCTCTCTACAGTCAGTCTGATGGAGGTAGTTATGTTCTCTCTACAGTCAGTGTGATGGAGGTAGTTATGTTCTCTATCTATAGTCAGTGTGATGGAGGTAGTTATGTTCTCTCTCTACAGTCAGTGTGATGGAGGTAGTTATGTTCTCTCTCTATAGTCAGTGTGATGGAGGTAGTTATGTTCTCTCTCTATAGTCAGTGTGAATGAGGTAGTTATGTTCTCTCTCTACAGTCAGTGTGATGGAGGTAGTTATGTTCTCTCTCTACAGTCAGTGTGATGGAGGTAGTTATGTTCTCTCTACAGTCAGTGTGATGGAGGTAGTTATGTTCTCTCTACAGTCAGTGTGATGGAGGTAGTTATGTTCTCTCTCTACAGTCAGTGTGAATGAGGTAGTTATGTTCTCTCTCTACAGTCAGTGTGATGGAGGTAGTTATGTTCTCTCTCTACAGTCAGTGTGATGGAGGTAGTTATGTTCTCTCTCTACAGTCAGTGTGAATGAGGTAGTTATGTTCTCTCTCTACAGTCAGTGTGATGGAGGTAGTTATGTTCTCTCTCTACAGTCAGTGTGATGGAGGTAGTTATGTTCTCTCTCTACAGTCAGTGTGATGGAGGTAGTTATGTTCTCTCTCTACAGTCAGTGTGATGGAGGTAGTTATGTTCTCTCTCTACAGTCAGTGTGATGGAGGTAGTTATGTTCTCTCTCTATAGTCAGTGTGATGGAGGTAGTTATGTTCTCTCTCTCTACAGTCAGTGTGATGGAGGTAGTTATGTTCTCTCTCTACAGTCAGTGTGATGGAGGTAGTTATGTTCTCTCTCTATAGTCAGTGTGACGGAGGTAGTTATGTTCTCTCTCTACAGTTAGTGTGATGGAGGTAGTTATGTTCTCTCTACAGTCAGTGTGATGGAGGTAGTTATGTTCTCTCTCTATAGTCAGTGTGATGGAGGTAGTTATGTTCTCTCTCTACAGTTAGTGTGATGGAGGTAGTTATGTTCTCTCTACAGTCAGTGTGATGGAGGTAGTTATGTTCTCTCTCTACAGTCAGTGTGATGGAGGTAGTTATGTTCTCTCTCTACAGTCAGTGTGATGGAGGTAGTTATGTTCTCTCTCTATAGTCAGTGTGATGGAGGTAGTTATGTTCTCTCTACAGTCAGTGTGATGGAGGTAGTTATGTTCTCTCTCTACAGTCAGTGTGATGGAGATAGTTATGTTCTCTCTCTACAGTCAGTGTGATGGAGGTAGTTATGTTCTCTCTCTCTATAGTCAGTGTGATGGAGATAGTTATGTTCTCTCTACAGTCAGTGTGATGGAGGTAGTTATGTTCTCTCTCTACAGTCAGTGTGATGGAGATAGTTATGTTCTCTCTCTACAGTCAGTGTGATGGAGGTAGTTATGTTCTCTCTCTACAGTCAGTGTGATGGAGGTAGTTATGTTCTCTCTCTACAGTCAGTGTGATGGAGGTAGTTATGTTCTCTCTCTATAGTCAGTGTGATGGAGGTAGTTATGTTCTCTCTATATAGTCAGTGTGATGGAGGTAGTTATGTTCTCTCTACAGTCAGTGTGATGGAGGTAGTTATGTTCTCTCTCTACAGTCAGTGTGATGGAGGTAGTTATGTTCTCTCTCTACAGTCAATGTGATGGAGGTAGTTATGTTCTCTCTCTACAGTCAGTGTGATGGAGGTAGTTATGTTCTCTCTCTACAGTCAGTGTGATGGAGGTAGTTATGTTCTCTCTCTCTACAGAAAACGGGTGGTTGTCGCTCTGTCTCTGCTCCGATTCCCCTGAACATGGTCAATACCTCTGTTGACGACATGTACAACGGCTGTAGACAGGAAATGTCCGGGCTGGTAGAGAACACATATCTTGAGGAGGAGAGAAAAACAACTAAAAACTTCAACGCATCCTGGACAAAAGCAGAAAAGTGTGCAAGAAACAGGACCATTCAAGACAATCTTAAACTGAAGCATGTCCAGGCTATCTGTGCTTACAGTGCAGAACACCCAGATATATACAAAGATTTTAACCAAGCATGTCTCACCAACAAGAGCATCTACACCTCTTCCTTCAAATTCCACTCCCTGCATTTCCTGCTGACTGAAGCTATTCTCCTCCTGAAACAAAACCCAGACCAACAGGGCTGTTACACCACGTCCAGAAGAACCAACATTGAGTTTGCAGGTGAAGTGAACAAGGAAATCCGTTTTGGCTCATTTGCCTCCAGCTCTTTCCTACAGAACTTGACACAATTTGGAGAGAAGTCCTGCTTTGAAATAAAGACATGTTTTGGCGCTTACCTCAAGTCCTACCCAGTGTTGCGTGAAAAAGAGAAGGAGGTGTTGATTCCGCCCTATGAAGTGTTCAACATTACTGCCGTGATCAAGAAAGAAAAAGTGAAGGATCTTTGGTGTGATGTTGTGTACAAACTACAGGGCAACAAAACACAGAGTGACCTGAATTGCAAAATGGTGAAGTCGGTCCAAATAGGGTGAAATAAAACCAGCATATCTGCTTTTCTACAGTCAGTAAAACATTATCTGCAGGGTGCAGTACACCCTTCCTCAAGTTCCCTCCATCATAACTAGAGAATGATCAATCATTCCCAAATCTCAGCTGTTATGCTACTGTCAAAATGGCGTGATTTGCATTGCTTGCTCAGTTAAGACATTGCTTGCTCAGTTAAGACATTGCTTGCTCAGTCAAGACATTGCTTGCACATATTACGATTCTTCTTCTATGATATTGTTGACATTGTTTAGCATGTGCATGCAGCTTTTGCTTTGATCAAAAAAGAAAAAAATGATTATCTGATAGATTGTAAATTAAATGAAAGTAATGTTAGGTTAACCTCTTTGTGTATGAGAAGAGTATAATTATTTAGTTATAATTATCCACTGTGTTGGATGTACTGTATTCAGCTGTGCATCTTCTCTGAGTAAACATTTGAAAGTCACTCTGAGTTTGGGCTCTTTTGTATGATAAATGTGTTGATTGTATATTATGATATTGTTCTTCTTATCACATCTCAAGTCCTTTTTATATTCCAACTCTGTTATAGATCTATGGATGATAAAAATACAAATAAAACTTTAATTAAGGTAAAGAGGAATCAAACTGAAAGACAAAGTAGCTAAGTTAGCTATATTATTAATATAACTCATCAGCTGTCAACATCAGGATAGAATTTGAGAGCACTAGTTGGCTCCAAAGGGGTTATAGCTTTGACTGCATGCTGACAGTGCATTCAGAGCCATTCGGTGGCTTGCCAGACTACAACATTCAAGGGGTTAGCGAAAGGTCAGTTCTGATCCTCCATATAAGACCTCAGTCTGGAAGTTAGATGTTATTTATTTTGCTCAAAAGTGTTTTTTTCACATCACCTGCAGTTACAAAGACAAAATATAAAGGTTTGGTGACAGGAAATGAGCATTCCATCTGCATACTATTTCAGAGGCTATATGAGTGAGCGCATACACAAATATGATATCTGAACCAGCACAAGCTTCATGTAAAATGATGTGAACGTGTACTGTCTACTGAAAGAATACCAATTCAGGCTTCAATTGGAAGGTAGCAGAGGACGAAGGGAAAGAGTCAGGTGAAGATAGCAGAGGGCGAATGGAAAGAATCAGGTAGCCTAGTGATGAAGAGCGTTGGGCCAGAAACTGAAAAGGTGCTGGTTTGAATCCCTGAGCCGACTTGGTGCAAAATCTGTCCTTGTGCCCTTGAGCAAGGCACTTAACACTAATTGCTCCCGTAAGTCACTCTGGATAAGAGCGTCTGCTAAATGACTAAAATGTAAAGATAGCAGAGGGCGAATGGAAAGAGTCAGTTACCAGTTCATTGCTATACACTCAGTGGTCAGTTTATTAGTTACACCACCCCCGTTCAAGAAAATGGTTTGCTCCTACAGACAGTCACATGGCCATGGCTTGCTATATAAAGCAGGTAGTTACTTTTCGATTGAACGTTAGACTGGGCAAAACGAGTGACCTAAGCGAGCACAGTATGATCGTCAGGTGCCAGGCGTGCCTGTTCCACTATCTCAGAAACGGCCGGCCTCCTGGGCTTTTCACACACGACAGTGTCTAGGGTTTACATGGAATGATGCGACTAACAAAAAACATTTAGTCAGCGGCAGTCCTGTAAGTATCAAAAGTCAATGTAATTGCTAAAATATACTTACGTATCAAAACTAAAAGTAAAAGTATGATTAATTTCAAATTCCTTAAATAAAGCAAACCAGACGGCATCATTTTCTTGTTGTTTTTTTATTACGGAAAGCCAGGGGTACGCTCCAACACTCAGACATCATTTACAAACAAAGCTTATGTTAAGTGAGTCTGCCAGATCAGGGGCAGTAGGGATGACCAGGGATGTTCTCTTGATAAGTGTGTGAATTAGGCAATATTCCTGTCCTGCTAAGCATTCAAAATGTAACAAGTACTTTTCGGTGTCAGGGAAAAAAGTACATTAAAAAGTACATTAGTTTCTTTAGCAATGTAGTGGTGTAAAAGTAAAAGTTGTCCAAAGCATAAATAGTAAAGTAAAGTACAGATACCCCACAAAAAACTACTTAAGTATTACTTTAAATTCTTTTTACTTAAGTACTTTACACTACTGCATTTGTTGTATCAAAACATGTAACAAGAATGTGGTTCAGGCTTGCGTCTTGAAATAGTAACTTTATTGACATCCTTACCTCCCTGTTGAGTTGGTTATCTAGAAAATGTTTGGACTAAAAAGTAAATTATTTTCTTTAGGAATGTAGTGAAGTAGAAGTTGGCAATAATATAAATAGTAAAGTAAAGTACAGATACCCCCAAAAAACTACTTAAGTAGTACTTTCAAGTATTTTTACTTAAGTACTTTACACCACTGGCAACAGAATGCAGAACGGCATCACGGAACACACAACTCGTCGTCCTTGTTACAGATGGGTTACTGTAGCAGACGACCACACTACCATCTACCAGGACTTTGTAGAGTTAGAGAAAGTAGAGCTAATTGTGGCACAACATTCCAGTGGCACTCCGTGCACTTCTATCTAACCGATGTCATACTCTGGCACAAAATCAAAACATTGTAACAGAACACCTTCTGCAGAAGCAAAGTGCATTTAGATCAGAATGTTGTCAACAAAAAGTTCACCTTCACCCCACGTTCTTTTAGTCCCGATATAGTCTGCTTTGGAAAGGTGTCCTGCTTTAAGATCAATAGGTGCAATGGTGCATGTGTGTCTCCCTACTCTGCCATAGTTGATGAGACTGAAGTTTTAATCCCAGCAATTGAGGTATTTGCGGTCACTAAAGTCCAGACAAACCCACCAGTGGACACATTAGGTGATTGTGACGTAGTCTACACTTAGTGAGCAGGGGAGATCAGAGCAACCTGAATTGCAAGTTGCTAAGGGATGGATCAAAATGTACAGAGTGGGTACCTGGAGGAAAATGGGGGAGGGTCATGCTTTTTACATTTCAGTCAGGGGGAGGGTTTAGTACTTTTAATTTGTAATTGATGAAATGTCAATATTGCTTACTGTTTTAGAATTAGTGGGTTATTAGGCTATACGGTACAGTATATAGATGTGTGCCGATGCAGCCGATTGTGTGCCGATTCGCTGCTGGGTGCGCAATATCAAGTGCGCCTATAGGCTATTTAGTGTGGTCTCAATCACATGATCTATAACCTATAGGCTATTTAGTGTGGTCTCAATCACATGATCTATAACCTATAGGCTATTTAGTGTGGTCTCAATCACATGATCCATAGCCTATAGACTACGAAGTGCATTTTAGGGTTTTTATTTATGGTGTAAATAAAACTAGCCCCGGGCGGCTCTGCTCTTGCTGATCAAAACCTTATTGTGTGCTGCCTAACCAATGCTGTTCTGTGTAGGCCTACAGTGGCTGTTCAGGAGTAGAGTCCAAAAATTATTCAGCTCATTGTGCTGAAAGTAGGCAAAGATGGTAGATTCATGCAATGATTTTACCATAAAGGAGATCTTTCCACACACAACCTTCTGGCCTGCAGCCGTGTGCACTATCAAAATTCCTGCATTGCAATGTAATGCTGACAGGACGAAGAACAGTTTCTAAAACGACATATCTAAGGCTCTGGTCTGTCCAAGAAGTGGGGGTAAACGGTTAGAAAGGTCTCTGCTATCCACTTTATAAATGTAATTATTTTGGGTATAGAGGAGGGTCACTTGTTTTGTTTTTTTCAAGCTTTTAGGGAGGGTTTAGGTTAAATATATTTTGCTGAAGGGAGGACCATCCATTTTCATTACAGAGAGTGCTTTCTCCATGTAACTCTTATTAGAAATAACATTCACTCTCTAAATGATAACGTTCATTACCTAAATGGAGCAAAATAAAATCTGAGAAGCAGCTTTTTTGCATTCAGCAGAACATCAGATACAGGCTACATAATGCTCAACATTATGTTAATATTCACTGTATAGAACTGATCATTCCCCAACCTCCACCAATGTACAATGAATGATACATTATACAAAAAATCTAACGGTCCCAGCTCTAAATTGTAATGATCATGTTTAACCCACAATTATTGCTGTTAAGATTTTCTGGGGGGGGGGGGGGGGGTTCTTCTGTTCCTGATACTGTTGTGAAATTTCTTGAGATTAAATGGTTTTAGTCGTGTAATTTCTTGAGATGAAATGGTTTTAGTCGTGTAATTTCTTGAGATGAAATTGTTTTAGTCGTGTAATTTCTTGATATGAAATGGTTTTAGTCGTGTAATTTCTTGAGATTAAATGGATTTAGTTATGTGTAATTTCTGAGACGTTGTTACAAATATTGTTTTCTTGGATTTAATATTCCTCTGCCAGTGAATTGGCATTTGTTAGCATGTGCACCACATTTTTTGTTAAAACCAATAAAGAAAAATCATTGAGCAGTATTTATTGTCTTCATTGGACACTGTGTTAACAAATCTCCAAACGAGCTTCAATGCCATACAACAATCCTTCAGTAGCCTTCAACTGCTCTTAAACACTAGTAAAACTAAATGCATGCTTTTCAATCGAACGCTGCTAGCACCCGCCCACCCGACTAGAATCACCACTCTCGACGGGTCTGACCTAGAGTATGTGGACAACTACAAATATCTAGGTGTCTGGTTAGACTGTAAACTCAACTTCCAGACTCACATAAAGAATCTCCAATCCAAAGTTAAATCTAGAATCGGCTTCCTATTTCGCAACAAAGCCTCCTTCACTCATGCTGCCAAACATGCCCTCGTAAAACTGACTATCCTACCGATCCTTGACTTCGGCGATGTCATTTACAAAATAGCCTCCAACACTCTACTCAGCAAATTGGATGTAGTCTATCACAGTGCCATCCGTTTTGTCTCCAAAGCCCCATACACTACCTACCACTGTGACCTGTACGCTCTTGTTGGCTGGTCCTCACTACATGTTCGTCGTCAAACCCACTGGCTCCAGGCCATCTATAAATCACTGCTAGGCAAATCCCCGCCGTATCTTAGCTCATTGGTCACCATAGCAGCACCCACCCGTAGTCTGTGCTCCAGCAGGTATATCTCACTGGTCATTCCCAAAGCCAACACCTCCTTTGGCCGCCATTCCTTCCAGTTCTCTGCTGCCAATGACTGGAACGAATTGCAAAAATCTCTGAAGCTGGAGACTCTTATCTCCCTCAATAACTTTAAGCATCAGTTGTCAGAGCACCTTACCGATCACTGCACCTGTACACAGCCCATCTGAAATTAGCCCACCCAACTACCTCATCCCTATATTGTTATTTAATTTGCTCTTTTGCACCCCAGTATCTCTATTTGCACATAATCTCTTGCACATCTAGCATTCCAGTGTTAATACTATTGTAATTATTCTGCACTATAGCCTATTTATTGCCTTACCTCCATAACTTGCTACATTTGCACACACTGTATATATATTTTCTGTTGTATTTCTGACTTTATGTTTTTTTTTTACCCCATATGTAACTCTGTGTTGTTTTTATTGCACTACTTTGCTTTATCTTGGCCAGGTCGCAGTTGTAAATGAGAACCTGTTCTCAACTGGCTTACCTGGTTAAATAAAGGTGAAATAAAAAAAATTTAAAAAATTGTCCTATTTATTTTAAGATGTGTTGAAGATGAAAATAAAGTAACTTTAAGGTTCTCTTTCAGTCAAGACCTCAACGTCACCATATGGGACGGTTTAGAACTTCCTTACCACAGTCATAAAACATGGTAATGATTGACTAATATAACAGAGAGATCCAAAGAGTTTGATTGTAGAGATCCAAAGGACTCCTCAATTGAATACAGGTCAGTGCTTCTCTCTTTTCAATTACCGTCTTTGGTTCAGGCCTATCACTGGAGCTGTTGTTGAATCAAGAGCTTTAATATCTTTTACTGACAAAGTTCTTGACATTTTCCGGATTGACTGACCTTCATGTCTTAAAGTAATGATGGACTGTCGTTTCTCTTTGCTTATTTGAGCTGTTCTTGCCATAATACGGACTTGAAATGTTACCAAATAGGGCTATCTTCTGTATGCCACCCCTACCTTGTCACAAAGCAACTGATTGGCTCAAACGCATTGAGGAAAGAAATTCCACAAATTAACTTTTAACAAGGCACACCTGATAATTGAAACGCATTCCAGGTGACTACCTCATGAATCTGGTTGAGAGAATGCCAAGACTGTGCAAAGCTGTCATCTAGGCAAAGGGTGGCTAATTTGAAGAATTATTTGTTTTTACACGTTTTTGGTTACTACATGATTCCATATGTTTCATTTCATAGTTTTGATGTCTTCACTATTATTCTACAATGTAGAAAATAGTAAAAATAAAGAAAAACCCTTGAATGAGTAGGTGTGTCCAAACTTTTGACTGGTACTGTATACTTCCATTCATTTTTTCTACTGGTACCGGGGGACCTTCAGAGGAGTCTTGTGAGGCTTACAGGCGTCTTAGAGCAAAATAACCGACATGTACGTGTTTGTGAGGGTCTCACCATTTCCATATTAGTGTGTAGCCCAAACTGTTCGGACGCTACAGACAGAAGTTGGCAGATCGGCGGTACCGACTTCAGACGAGTCCCGTGACTTTCCTAGAGTAAAACGGAGAACACCTTTAATGTGGGGCCGGATATCCACTCAATGGGGTTTTAAATGGATGGGTAGCTACAGTACTACCCCCCACATGAGAAAAACACCACCACTAACTTCAGAAGATCCTGGGACATAGCAGAGAAACATGCATCCCATTCCAAAAGATGGTCTGCAAAAAGTGCATTCCATAGCTATGTATTTGCACACATATAGTATAACAAACCCCAACCTCTATCTGAATCCAACTACCTAGACTTCATCAAAGCAGTTTAGGTAGGAAGATATAGGTATGGAAGATCATTCCAGTATCATTCCATGCACTTATATATATCTGATGCCATTCAGACGAATCTCAAACGAAGCCAAACATGTAGGATCACCTGCCTTAGAGTGTCAACAAAAATATCAGTTTCAGCACCTTCACCTCGAGCACTCTAGGCAGGGAAATAGGCCAAGATTCATTTGGAGTGAGGCCCTGCTTTGAGATCTACACATGTTTTGGCGTTGACATATCATATTACTCTCGGCTTCCTGAAGAGAGGAAAATCTTAATTCAGCTGTGAAGAAGGCACAGTGGTGCTCAAACGTTGGTGGTTTACCCAATCAATGACTGGGAGCTTGTTTATAGTGTGTGACTCTTTATTTTTATAGCCTACAGTTTATTCCCCGTAAGTCAACACCTCTAGACAGAAAACAATGCTGGGTGTGTGCCAGCTCATGCTTTAAAAAAAAAACTGTTTAACCTGCATTGCTTGCTCAGATTCAGATCATATATTTCTGGATATTGTATAGTAATTTGTTGACATTTGTTAGCATGTGCTCTGTTTATGTTATTCACCATTATGTTACTGATTCCCTCCACCCCATCAATATTGTGTTTATATTCACCATTATGTTACTGATTCCCTCCACCCCATCAATATTGTGTTTATATTCACCATTATGTTACTGATAACCTCCACCCCATCAATATTGTGTTTATATTCACCATTATGTTACTGATTCCCTCCACCCCATCAATATTTTGTTTATATTCACCCATTATGTTACTGATAACCTCCACCCCATCCAATATTGTGTTTATATTCACCATTATGTTACTGATTCCCTCCACCCCATCAATATGTGTTTATTTAATATTCACCATTATGTTACTGATTCCCTCCACCCCATCAATATAGTGTTAATATTCACCATTACGTTACTGATTCCCTCCACCCCATCAATATACTGTTTATATTCACCATTATGTTACTGATTCCCTCCACCCCATCAATATAGTGTTAATATTCACCATTACGTTACTGATTCCCTCAACCCCATCAATATAGTGTTAATGTTCACCATTATGTTACTGATTCCCTCCACCCCATCAATATCGTGTTTATATTCACCATTATGTTACTGATTCCCTCCACCCCATCAATATTGTGGGGTGGATAATGGCGCCGGAGGAGATGGCTGCAGTTTTACGGGCTCCTAACCAACTGTGCTATTGTGTGTGTTTTTTCGCATTACTTGTAACTTATTTTGTACATAATGTTTCTGCCACCGTCTCTTATGACCAAAAAGAGCTTCTGGATATCAGGACAGCGATTACTCACCTCGTACTGGACAAAGATTTTTCGTTAATGATTCGGACGCGAAGGATTTACTTCAGGCACCCGACAAGGCCCAAATCACCGCCATTCGCATGAAGAAGAGACGGAGATATCGGGGACATAGGTTGGGGTGCCTTGTAAGGATCCGACGGTGAGTGGCTAATCTGCCTCTACCATCAGTCCTATTAGCCAACGTACAATCATTGGATAATAAAATGGATGAGCTCCGATAAAGAATATTCCACCAACGGGACATTAAAAACTGTAATATCTTATGTTTCACAAGTCGTGGCTGAACGACGACATGGACAACATACAGCTGGCAGGGTTTTTGGTGCATCGGCAAGATAGAACAGCTGCCTCCGCTAAGACAAGGGATGGCGGTCTGTGTATATTTGTAAATAACAGCTGGTGCTTGAAATCTAATATTAAGGAAGTCTTGAGGTTTTGCTCGCCTGAGGTATCTCATGATAAGCTGTAGACCACACTATTTACCAATATTTATTTTATGTATTTTTCGTAGCTGTCTAATTACCACCCCAAACCAATGCTGGCACTAAGACCACACTTAATGAGCTGTATAAGGCCATAAGCAAAGAAGAAAATGCTCATCCAGAGGCGGCGCTGCTGGTGGCCGGGGACTTTAATGCAGGGAAACTTAAATCCGTTTTACCTAATTTCTACCAGCATATTAAATGTGCAACTAGAGGAAAAAAACTGTAGACCACCTTTACTCCACACACAGAGACGCGTACAAAGCTCTCCCACGCCCTCCATTTGGCAAATCTGACCATTCTATCCTTTTGCTTACAAGCAAAAACTAAAGCAGGAAGTACCAGTGACTCGCTCAATACAGAAGTGGTCAGATGACACAGATGCTAAGCTATAGGACTGTTTTGCTAGCACAGACTGGAATATTGTCCGGGATTCTTCCGATGGCATTGAGGAGTACACCACATCAGTCATCGGCTTCATCAATAAGTGCATCGATGACGTCATCCCCACGGTGACCGTACGTACATACCCCAACCAGAAGCCATGGATTACAGGCAACAACCGCACTGAGCTAAAGGGTAGAGCTACCGCTTTCAAGGAGCGGGACTCTAACCCGGACGCTTATAAGAAATCGTGCTATGCCCTCCGACGAACCATCTAAAAGGCAAAGTGTCAATACAGGACTAAGATTGAATCGTACTACACCGGCTCCGACGCTCATCGGATGTGGCAGCGCTTGAAAACTATTACGGACTACAAAGGGAAGCACAGCCGCGAGCTGCCCAGTGACACGAGGCTACCAGATTAGCTAAATTACTTCTGTGCTCACTTCGAGGCAAGCAACACTGAAGCATGCATGCATGAGAGCATCAGCTGTTCCGGACGGCTCTCCGTAGCCGATGTGTGTAAGACCTTTAAAAAGGTCAACATTCACAAGGCCGCAGGGCCAGACGGATTACCAGGACGTGTACTCTGAGCATGCGCTGACCAACTGGCAAGTGTCTTCACTGACATTTTCAACCTGTCCCTGACTGTGTCTGTAATACCAACATGTTTCAAGCAGACCACCATAGTCCCTGTGCCCAAGAACACTAAAGTAACCTGCCTAAATGACTACCGACCCGTAGCACTCACGTCTGTAGCCATGAAGTGCTTTCAAAGGCTGGTCATGGCTCACATCAACACCATTATCCCAGAACCTGTAGACCCACTCCAATTTGCTTTCTGCCCGACAGATCCACAGATGATCTCTATTGCACTCCACACTGCCCTTTCCCACCTGGACAAAAGGAACACCTATGTGAGAATGCTATTCATTGACTACAGCTCAGCGTTCAACACCATAGTGCCCTCAAAGCTCATCACTACGCTAAGGACCCTGGGACTAAACACCTCCCTCTGCAACTGGATCCTGGACTTTCTGAAGGGCCGCCCCCAGGTGGTAAGGGTAGGTAACAACACATCTGTCACGCTGATCCTCAACACGGGGGCCCCTCAGGGGTGCGTGCTCAGTCCCCTCCTGTACTCCCTGTTCACCATTGACTGCATGGCCAAGCACGACTCAAACACCATCATTACGTTTGCCGATGACACAACAGTGGTAGGCCTGATGAGATAGCCTATAGGGAGGAGGTCAGAGACCTGGCCGTGTGGTGCCAGGATAACAACCTCTCCCTCAACGTGATCAAGACAAAGGAGATGATTGTTGACAACAGGAAAAGGAGGACCGAGCATGCCCCCATTCTCATCGACGGGCTGTAGTGGAGCAGGTTGAAAACTTCAAGTTCCTTGGTGTCCACATCACCAACAAACTATTATGGTCCAAACACACCAAGACAGTCATGAAGAGGGCACAACAAAGCCTATTCCCCCTCAGGAGACTGAAAATATTTGGCATGGGTCCTCAGATCCTCAAAAAGTTTTACAGCTGCACCATCGAGAGCATTCTGACTGGTTGCATCACCGCCTGGTATGGCAACTGCTCAGCCTCCGACTGCAACGTAGTGCGTACGACCCAGTATATCACTGTGGCCAAGTTTCCTGCCATCCAGGACCTCTATACCAGGCGGTGTCAGAGGAAGGCCCTAAAAATTGCCAAAGACTCCAGCCACCCTAGTCATAGACTGTTTTCTCTGCTACCGCACAGCAAGCGGTACCGCAGCATCAAGTCTAGGTCCAAAAGGCTTCTTAACAGCTTCTACCCCCAAGCCATAAGACTCCTGAGCAGCTAATCAAATGGCTACCCGGACTATTTGCATTGTCCCCCCCAACCCCCTCTTTTTACGCTGCTGCTACTCTCTGTTTATTATCTATCCATAGTCACTTTACCTCTACCCACATGTACATATTACCTCAATTACCTCGACTAACTTGTGCCCCCGCACATTGACTCTGTACCGGTATCCCCTGTATATAGCCTCGCTACTGTTATTTTACTGCTGCTCTTTAATAATTTTTCTATGTTTCTTTGTTTTTTATTTTTACTTATCTATTTTTTATTTAACACGTATTTTTCTTAAAACTGCATTGTTGGTTAAGGGCTTGTAAGTAAGCATTTCACTGTAAGGTCTACAGCTGTTGTATTCAGCGCATGTGACAAATAAAATGTGATTTGATTTGTTTTATATTCCCCATTATGTTACGGATTCCCTCCCACCCCATCAATATTGTGTTGTAGCGGTGCTAGGCCGTAAGTTGGAACATTTTCTATTTTTCAAAAACCTGCTATTTTTTTCTGCATATCTAACCATACCTCTTGAGCTGTCTGTATCTTCCTGACTGGTGGTTGTATTAAAACAATAAATAAATGCTTCTCTGCATTTCTGCTACAATCTGGGTAAAATATTGAAAGGAATGTGAGTCTTATTCAGTACATTTAGTTATTGCTTGCTTTTCTAAAGTCTATCAACCTAGCCAGCAGGCATGCCAGCTAAGATAGTTAGACAAGCTAGCTACTCTAACTTTATTGATAGCCTGAAATGGCTTCGTGGTAGCTAGTTATGAGGTTGGGAAATTGGGAACCTATTTGGGCTAGCTAAAGCCAACTTCATAAATTGTGGCTAGTAGTATTAGAGAAGGAAAAAAAACGGTTTATATATATAGATTTTAAACAGGACAAATGTGAGGGGGCACGAGCCCCTGTTCCCCCTATGGGCATGACAACTCTAATGGTAAATTTGTTGTCATGTGCACTAGAACTTGTGTTGAAACCAATAAAGAAAAGCATTGAGCAATATATCTCCTGTCCTCTTGATCCACCATGTGTAAATCTGGTATAAACCCCCAGAATATATATTACATCTCCTGTCCTCTTTATCCAACATGTGTAAATCTGGTATTAACCTACAGAAGATAATTTTCTATCTCATTAAAAGCAACTCCACTAGTTCTCAGGTTGTTCTCTGATTGGTTTAAAATGGTAAGCAGTAGCAGCACCCCCTAGTAACTAACACCTCAAATAGGAAGCT